AGTAGAGAGAGAGGCTACCTAAAGAACCCTGGGAGGGCAAGAAAGCAAGAATACCCATACTTAGAAAATATACATACACATAAAAGTGCTGCATATCATAAGTTTACAGATTGATGAACTTTCATACACCCAGTATCCAAATCAAGAAACAGAATGGAAGGACCTAGCATGTTCTCTTCTCAGGGTAACCACCAATTCTTACTCCTAGATTCTTTTTGAAATAATTCTTATATAGCATATATGTTTTAGGGACTGTTCTAAGTTACTTGCACATATTTTTCACAACGCTTTGAGGAAGAAGCTTATTATCACCATTCCCATTTTCAGACCAGGAAGCTAAGACAGGGGAAGGTTAAAGTTGCCTGTCCAAGGTCACACAGGTAGTGAACTGTAAAACTAGGATTGGAACCTATGCAGTTTAGCCCCAAGCTGAATCTACACCATGGGACCTCTTAGAAGTCCACATCCCATAGTTTAGTCAGTCATCTGTTCACCTCCCCACACTCCAGCTGCTTAAGACTTAATCAGGAGGGAAATTATGCAACAGAAAACAGCCACAACACACAGGGGCATTTGCGTTTGGCGCGGATACGTGGGCGAGAGTCGCTGCTCCCCCTGACCCTCTGCGCCGCCTGCAGGGGGCGCCCTGGCGCACGCCTTCCTTCCCAGACGCGGTGAAGCGCACTTCGACCTGGATGAGCGCTGGTCTCTGAGCCGCCGCCGCGGGCGCAACCTTTTCGTGGTGTTGGCGCACGAGATCGGCCACACGCTCGGCCTCACCCACTCGCCGGCGCCACGCGCGCTCATGGCTCCCTACTACAAGAGGCTGGGCCGCGATGCGCTGCTCAGCTGGGACGACGTGCTGGCGGTGCAGACCCTGTATGGTGAGCCTCCCAGCCCTGCTTCTGGGCCACCCTGTCGTGTCTCCGTTCCCGCCCCCTCCCCTCGCAAGCCGCCAGTCCTTAGACCCTAAGCGCAGGAATCTGGTCTCCCCTCACCTGACCTCCCAATCCCGAAGCTCCAGGCTCCCCTCAAACCCGATAATCCTCAGTCTTCTGTTCCCACCTCTCCATAAGTCTCCAATCAATTCCTGGGTGCGATTCTCCCCTGCTGCCTTCCTTGCATTCCAATTTCTGAATTCCTGCCCAAACCCCAGCTTTGGCAGTCCCTCTCCCATCACATCCTTGTCCATCACTCAGATCCAATTAAGTTTACCTCTCTCCCATCCCAGAACCCAAAGCCCTCATCCCTCCCCACAATCCCACTGGCTCAATGCCCCCTCTGCACGTTGCTGATGCCCAGGTACTCCCAGTATTCCCAGAGCCTCGACCTGGTAGTGGGCTCAGACAAGGTCCTTCCCCTAGAGCAGACCAGGCCAGATCAATCAGCCAGTGCTACTGTCTTGGGACCTGCTTCAGAGTGCCAGGGGCACAGCCAGGAGGCCTGGGTTCACTTGCCATTCCTGATTAGCAGTTGCTCTTAGGCAAAACATTTCCCCTCTAAGAGCCCTCAGTTTTCCCTTTTGTTAAAAAAAAAAAAGGAGAATAATAGAGGTCCTGCTTAACCTACCTGGATGTTGTGCTACTGTGGGTCTGAGCATGCTTTGTAGCCTGGAAAATCTACAAAATGTAACAATGACGGCTGCTATTTCACTAGTGTTTACCACAGGCCAGGCACTTACACTTAAAACATGCCACCAATTAAATGTCTTTTGGACCACAGATAAGGATAATGGGGTTCAGAGAGGATAAGTAACTTGCCCAAGGTGGCAAAGCTAGGAAATTGAAGACCAGGATTCAGGAGCCGATGCCAAATTTCTGCTTCACTCCTCCGATAAGTGAAGGCTAGGAGGTAATTATTATCATTGTTATAAATTATCACAGCCCTGGGGTCCTGAACCATGCCATCATGCCACCTGTGTTGCCCAAGATTTGGAGAAGATGATTCCCTGCCCTTCTTAGTTCCAAATCCTAGCTTTGTTTTCTGCTCCAATTGTATCTCAGGCTGTTGGGTAAGAGACAAGACTCCTGGGTTTAGTGTTATTATGGCTAACACCAACAACCAGGGCAGCTCTTATCTCCACTCCCACCCTCCTCCTTGCCCCTCACGTAAGACAATCATGAAAGGAATCAAAGGGAAGGGTTAAGTACTCAACATACCCCCACCAGTCTGTTCTCTCCCTCTTCTCTCTTTACTCCTAAAGGGAAGCCCCTAGGGGGCTCAAGGGCCATCCAGCTCCCAGGAAAGTTGTTCACTGACTTTGAGGCCTGGGATCCCCATAACTCTCAAGGCAGGCACCCTGAAACCCAGGGTCCTAAATACTGCCACTCTTCCTTCGATGCCATCACTGCAGGTAAGATGGTCCCACCCGTGCCTGGCTTCCTTCTTTCCTTCTTCATATCTCCAAGGGTCCCCATAACTGGAGTACAAGGTGCAGGGATGGATTACAGAAGCCATAAATCCCAAACTACAAGCATTCTGCACAGTAGCAAGCTCACAGAAAGCCAAGTACTGCTTCCTCCTGTCCACATCTCCTCCAACTGTCCCTTGCGCATATCACACCCTTTGCTTGTTGATTTGGGAAGCTGGATTCTTCATAACACCTTCCCTGAAACACGGCAGAGGTCAACGGTCATTCCTCAAGCTTCTCTTGTTTCCAAGCAGATGGGGACCAACAAGTGTACATCTTTAAAGGGAGCTACTTCTGGGAGGTGACACCTGATGGCAATGTCTCAGAGCCCCGCCCACTACAGGACAGGTGGGCCAGGCTGCCTCCCAACATTGAGGCTGCTGCAGTGTCATTGGAGGATGGAGACTTCTACTTCTTCAAAGGTATCAGCCCTGAGGCAGCTGAGAAAATTGAGGATTAGAGAGGGGAGGTCAAGAGAGGGGAGGAGACTCATCCAATGAGTCTCTGGTAAAGTCTACCCCACAATGAACCAGTGACCCCAGAAACACACTATCAGGAAATTTCTTTCAGTGATGAAGTGGAGAGCAGCAGGTGTCAAAGTTGTCCTGGGGAGCATTTCAGAGAAGAGTCTAAAGGGAAGCAGAGGACTGCTATTGAGCTCTGCCATTCCAGAAAGAATGGTGTCTTCTAAGGAATCCTGTGTGAGGCTGGGGTTGTCACTTAATTTTTAGAGCTTGCATTCCTTCAATAGGGAAAATAATACATTTTGGGGGGGAAGGAGGATAAAAATAATGGCCAAAGAGTGTGCAGTATATTGCTATATATGTCATAATTCTTTAGTAGATAGTATTCATTCATTCCTTCATTCATGAAACCAATGTGGAGGTCCTTCTATGTGCCAAACCACTGGAAGTGTCAGGAATGTGGCCATGAACAACAACAACAACAAAAAACCCTTGCCTTTTAGAATTAGTAGACGTGAAGAAAGTTCCAAGACTTCTCCCTGTTCCATTCCTCCCCCAGGGAAGGGACTGTGCCCCCTCTCCAGGCCCCAGCCTGCTCTCCCTGCAAGCACAAATTGATAGGTTCATTCTGGGCTGTTGGCTCTCTGCTGACACCTGCTGGAAGCCTAAACTATAGCAGTCCCTCCCCTACAATATATAACTAACTTGTTGGCAGCCCCCATTAACCAACAACCTTGGGCTCCAACTTGAGTGGAACAAGGGAGACAGCAAAGGAGTGAAGACCAATGGGTGGGACCAATGGGCTCCAGCTCACCCTGTCTTTCTCAATGCCCTACAGGGAGTCGATGCTGGAGGTTCCGGGGCTCCAAGTCAGTGTGGGGTTTCTCACAGCTGTGCCTGGCAGGGGGCCTGCCCCGCCATCCCGATGCGGCCCTCTTCTTCCCTCCTCTGCACCGCATCATCCTCTTCAAGGGTGCCCGCTACTATGTGCTGGCCCAAGGTGGACTGCAAGTGGAACCTTACTACCCCCGCAGTTTGCAGGACTGGAAGGGTGTCCCTGAGGAGGTCAGTGGTGCCTTGCCAAGGAAAGATGGCTCTATCATCTTCTTCAGAGATGATCGATACTGGAGCCTGGACCAAACCAAACTGCGAGTGACTGCTTCAGGCCGCTGGGCCACTGAGTTGTCCTGGATGGGCTGCTGGCATGCCAACTCGGGAGGCACCCTGTTCTGAAGGCAGCCCATCACCTAATGAACCCTCGGTGCCTTGAGGGTCCATTCACATCCCAGATGCAGGGGCAGAACCTAACCTGGAAGCCCCCGCCTCCCTGCAGAAGACTGAGCAGCAAAATCTTCACCAGGAAGTTTGTGTGCTTTTTGTTCCTTGGAGAACACTGCTGTTCCCACTACATGGAGGTGGGGGTGCGATCAAGCCAAGGGGAAGGAAAAAAGGAAATATCCCACAATTCTTTCCACTGAGGACCTCTTTCATTACCAAGCCTCAGAGATTTTGATTCTTCTGCTAATGGTTGTGTTCTGTCTGCGAGGAGACAGCACTGGAATCTGACCAGGAGGGATGCAAAACTCCAGAGGCTGGAGACTATTTTGCAAGCTAGACCCCTTCTTCTTAGGGTCTCCTGGCTCACTCAGTTCTTGGTATTGTGTCTTATTTATTCAGATCTCTCCCCAGTAAGCTCCGATGGGGTGAAGGCACAGGGTCTCTAACCTCAGGGGCCCATTGGGGGTTCAGGATGCAGAACAAGAGGGAGACTTGTTATGGGTTTCCAAGGCTTTTGTCTGGGGCAGGAATAAACAGTGTCATCCCCAGCTGGTGGGCCTGCAGGTGGGAAGCAGCCTTCCTTGAACCAGTTCTTCCATCCTTTCCAGTGACAGCAGATGTGTAAGAAAGATGGACTATAGCAGTCTCTACTGTGTATATCGAACTTGTAGTATAATGCTCTTCTATCCAAGCCTGGGCCAGCCAGCTACATGTGAATGGGGGCTTCTGCCTCTCCTAAAAAAGCAAAATGTACTCATCCCCCCCCCACACACACACACACACAAACACCCCTGAGATAGAGAACCCTTGCCACAGGGAGAAGTCAGAGGGCTTACAGTGGGGGATGGGGTTGCTGCACTGCTGCTGGTGCTCAGGATGCAGCCTCCAAAAGGATTCTGCAGGTTGGGGGAGGTTTTGTGCTCACAATGGCCCCATTCTCCAGGCCACACACACAGCATTCCCAGAGCTCCTGCTGTCTGGCCAAGAATAGCTGGGATTCCTGGAGAAGAAACCAACTCCCCAGCCTCCATCTTCTGCTTCAGCCAGTCTCAGCATTTATTTTAGCATCTAGTTCTCCTCCCTTCCCTCCACACCTGCCAGTGCCTCATCTGCACACACATTGACCTCAGCAAACAGCTTCCAGGGGAGAGGAGAATGGTCTGGGAGGGTTCCTTCCTTCCTTCCCTAGGGGCATTGCTGGCCCTGCGCCTGCCTTCTTCTCTGTGCCGTGGGGAGACTGGCCTTTGACTGCCCTGGGATTCAAGGGCCTTGTGCTACCCTGCCCCGGGGAGGTGAGAGAGGTGGCTCCCTGCCAGCCTTCTCTCTTTGACTTGAACCTAGGGAGGGGAAAGAGTGTCCCATCTTCCTTACTCCTACTTAAAACCACCTCGCTCCCATCTCAAGGCACTGACACTTTGATTAGAGGCTTTATTGAATGATTTGAGGGAAAGGGGCAACTTTTCCGAGGGATGAGGAAAACCAGAGGTTACTTTTTCTAGGAGATGCCTCTGCTCACCAGGCTTGAAGAACCTGAAAGAGATGCTTGTGAAACTGTGTTGGGAACGTGAATCAGGTGGTGGTGAAGGTTGGGTGCTCCCTGAGGGCCAGAGCCCTTCGAGAGCACTATGAGAGTAATGGGATTCTAGGTTATACAGAGTCCCCCCATGCAAAGTCCAGCATAACCTAGAGCCCCGCTAAATGACAGGTGGAAACCCCTCACCTACAGTGGGACTTCTTGCCGGAGTGGGGTGCTCTGGGTACAGCTCGAAGAAGGGGCAGTTCTGTGGATCATGCTGGAGGGGGCTAGCTTCGCGGTAGAGAAGGCTGCAGGGATTTTGACATTAGGCAAGGTTGGAGGACACAGGCTGAGAGCGGAGTTGTTCAGAGCCCTCAGTCATCTCCGCCTTACCCAGATCCGGGTGTTCCAGAACACAGTGCGCCACGTAAGCCGGGTGGCTATGCAGGCTCTTGCATTTCTTGCAAAAAAGGATCTCGCAGCGCGCACAGCCCCCGAGGCGCGGAGACCGTCGCGTCTCCAGCACGCACGGCTCCTCCGGAAGGCTTCGCTTCCTGCGGCCGGGAACCCGAGCTCTCAGTGCCCTGGGCCTTCCATCCTCCCTGGGGCTCAGCACCCGGGTCCTGGTGCGGGACCAAGGAGCATCCTCACCTTTCTGCAGGAGCAGCCAGGCTGCCCAGCAGCGCGAAGGGGCTGAACCAGCCCCAGAAGCCGCTGTCTGAGCGCCGCAGTAGCGCCACCTGCTGGGTGCTGAACTCCTGGCGCAGTGGGTAGTAGGACACCGAGAGCCGCTCGCGGCCTTGCACCTCCGCCTTGCGCGTCTCCTCCGCGTCCTCTGCCGCGCTATCTGCGGTCACATCCTCGTCGTCCTCCTCAGACCTCTCCTCCTCTTTCTCCTGAGCCGCCTCCTTGGCGCAAGGCTCCTCCAGCTCCTTCTTCCACAAGGGGGTCTTCACACCTGCGAGCGAAGAGGAGCTCAGCGCTGTACCTTTGTCCCTGGTGGAGGACCTGGGAACACTTGACTGTGCAGGGTTCTGAAGGACGGTGTGTGTGAGATGCCCCGGACCAGCTGGACTCCTTGAGAGGATTTCAGAGTATGGAACATTCCCCGGGGAAGCAGGGCTGCTCCCAGGCACTGCCAAGCTAAGGATTTGGGACAAGTGACCTCATTTCTGTCAGGCCGTTTCCTCATCTGTGTAGTGAGGTGAAGTAATGCCTCACCACCTTTCTTTTCTTTTTCTTTACTTTCCTTTTCTAATCTCGGTTCTGAAGATTGCACCCGGTACCTTACTCTACCACTGAACGGCATCCCCAGATCACCACTTTCTTCTAATTGGCTCTAGGGGTGCCTGATCTCTGGGTAGGCTATCAGTAAACATTAATTGCATGAGTTGTCTTTTAATAGGTGGTTGTTTGTATTTTGTTTACTATATGAGTTTTCCCTCCTCAAAGTGGGACTTGTCTTAGGGAGCCCCAGCAACACTGGTGGTAGGGTAGACAGGACTCTTTGTGATTCGTAAAGCTATCTGTATAGCTATCTGTATAGACAGAACAGAAAAAAAGATCCTTTCCATGAACCAATCAATTAGGAAAGAGCTGCCCTGGAGGTGGACAAGTTAAGAAGAGATGCCTCTTCCTTCAGGCATGACCCAATTGCCAGTAGATTTTAAACACTACTGCCCACTCTTGCTGGCACTTTTGTGTTGAGTTGTGGCTCTCAACACTTTTGTTCAGGGCATGAGCTCCATAACTTCAAGCTAATGTGGAAGCTGGTGTCCACCTGTCAGCAAACATTCATTCACCCAGCACCTGTGTCTGGAGAGCTAGATTTATCATGAGAAGAAAAGGGAAGGCACAATTCTGGGAGTTTGTCCTGGAAGGTCAAGAAAAACTCCTAGCCAGGCAGGGTACTCTGAGGGAGAAAGAGTGCAAATTGGAGGCCAGCCTCAGTAAATTATCAAACCCTGTCTCAAACTTAAAAATAAAAAGAACTGGGGGTTAGAGCAACTAATTGCTCAGCATGTGTAAAGCTCCAGATTTGATCCTCACTATTGCAAAAAATAATTATTATTATAAAAGAAAAAAAAGTATAGATCCCTTTCCATCCTATTTAAGCAAAAGGGAATGATAATTGCTATTCTAATCCCTGTGTATCCGGCACCAACTGTGTGTAGTCATTGTTCTCTTCCTACATCAGATCCCTTAATCTCCACAACCCTCTTAGGTAGGTGATGCACAGGTAATAGTGGGGCTTCTGAATGTGATCCAGAATGTTTGAAATCTTTAAGGAGAAGTTGTTTCAAAGGTTCTGCCTGTTCTTGATATTGCTAAAAGTGGAAAACCAGGGGTCCATTGCACTTTTACCTAGGAAAAGAGATTAAATAATCTTCTGGTTTTGAAAGGCCAAGCCTGGTATGCAGCCAGAAAGGAGTGCTAGGGACATTTCAGGAGGAAGGGGAACAGAAAATGGGTTTGAAAAGGAAGGATGGGACTTGGAGTCCAGCTTGTCCTTCATCAGTGGACACCACTGAACAATCTGATGGAGGGACATGCTCAGAGCTGTTTTAAGATGTTCCCTCTGACAAGACGGAGAAGTACTTAAGAGTCATTACAATGGTCCAGGCCATAGAAGACAGAGATTCAAACAGAAGCAAGCTAGAAATAAAGGAGATGTCAAGAATATCCCAGAAGAAGTTGGGCATGGTGGTGCACACCTGTAATCCCAGAGACTCAGGAGATTAAAGCAGGAGGACTGCAAGTTCAAAGACAGCCTTGGCAATTTAGTGAGGCCATCCCTAAGTAACTCAGTGAGATCCTGTCTCAAAATAAAAAATAAAAGGGCTGGGGATATGGCTTAGTGGTTAAGCGCCCCTGCGTTCGATCCCCAGTACCAAAAAACAAACAAACAAGAAAAAGGAGAAAGGAAAAGGCTTGTAGCTATGAAGATAGGTAATTGAGAAAAGGCTCAACTTCTATTCTGGGGTTACCATGGTGATGGGTGAGTTGGTCCAGGCTGGGGTCAAGATGCCCCATCCTCTGGCCCCTGCCTACCACCAGCCCCACTCACCATACTTATCCATTCTTTCCAAGGCTGTGTGCCTGCTTCTCCAGATCAGGGACTGGGATGGTGAGCAAGTGTCCAGAACCCATAGAACTTGATCTGGTCTCCACTCTCTGTTGGATCACAGGGGGGTGGGGTTAGAACCTCATCTGCTGCTGGGGCTCCACTCTGGAATAATTGCCTTTTCTAGAGCCTCCAGAGGCACTCAAAGTCCTGGGGTCCCCCACCTTTCCTCTGGGGAAGGTGTTAAAGGAGACTAGAGTGGGTCTTTGGTCCCTGATAAGCAGAGTTTAAATCCTAGCTCTATCATATAAATATTCATGCTATCTGACCTTCAGCAAAAAATCATTGCACAGAACAATTTGGCTAGGAGACCATCACTGGAGGCTACTTCTGAACATGGACACCATGAACAATCCTGAGTCATTCCCCAGGATCTCATGCCCCTGGCAGGTACATCTGAGGTGATACTGTGACTTTTAGGGGGGCATCCTACCAAAACACCACAACAAGAGTCCCCCCAGGCCCAGTATCCATATCATTCTGCCCACCCCCCCAACCCTGATCTGTCCAGCAGTCCTTTGCTATCTTAGGGTGTACATTCCCTCTCTTAGGGTGTACATTCCCTCTCTTAGGAGCAAGACTTTGAGTTTTGTGGGATTTTTGTAAAAACTCAAATTATAATAAAAACAGATTGATAATAAAAGCAGATTGATTGTCCTAACAGTCATCAGGAAAACAGTAGAGCCAGCAGGCAATTCCAGCAGCAGCAAGAACAGCCATTGAGAGACCCTCTAAAGGGCCACTGATAATGAATGCAAACTCAGAATTCACTAGTTGTCTATCCATAAGACACAGTTTAAAGTCAGAAGAGAGCTGGGCACTTTGGGGCATGCCTGGAATCTCAGTTAGTTGGGAGGCCAAGACAGGAGGATCACAACTTTGAAGCGAGCTTAGGCAATGTAGCAAGACTGTTTCACTGTAAAAAATAAGTGGGTAGAGCAACCCTGGATTCAACCCCAGTACTTGAGGAAAAAATAACAAAATACCTTGGGTGCAGTAGCACAAAATACTCAGGAACTCAGGAGGCTGAGGCAGGAGGATTGCAAGTCTGAGCCAGCAGAGTATCTTAGTGAGGCCCTAAGCAATTAGCAAGACCCTGTCTCAAAATAAAATATATATATACATAAATAAATAAAAATAAAGGGCTGGAGATTTAGCTCAGTGGGAGAGCATCCCTGGGTTCAATTCCCCAAACAAAAACTAAACAAAATAAAATTGGAAGAGAATGAGCTATACTTATTGGCAAGTTGGAGAATTATTCTCTGCGGTTCATAAAATCATGTCTAGAGAACAAGATGAAGTCAGTTACCAAAAGTAAAGCTACATTTTTTCATATTAAACTTTAATTTTTAAATTAATAGTATAAATACCTTATTAACTTCTAATTACTAGGTATAACAGATATGCAGTATTCATTTTAATTGAGCAATAGAGAGCATAAAAGAAAATGTATCAGTAAGGTAGCATGTAAGCGCCACCGTATGGGGATTATCTGTAACAACATTTTACATTTGTATAACAAAAGGGAACGGGTGCGGAGAAAAGGGACGCTACTTGGCTGGCGTAGGGCGCAGGGAGGCGAGTTTGCCGGCGGCGGATCATGCTGAACGGAGTACGCTGCAGGCTCGCCTCGACGCTGTGGAGGACACGAGCGCCGCCATCCGCGGTCACTCGTAGGTGCCTCCGCGCGACAAGGTCGCTGTCCTTGGCAGATCGGAGCGAGAGGGCGAAAGAGCCGTCCAGCACTTTCGATCAGGCACTGCTGGAATTCCTAGTGTGTCCTCTCTCCAAGAAGCCGCTCAGATATGAAGCCTCAACAAATGAATTGATTAATGAAGAATTGGGAATAGCCTATCCAATCATTGATGGGATTCCTAATATGATACCACAAGCAGCTAGGACGACACAGCAAAATAAGAAACAAGAAAAAACGGAGCAACACTAACTCATAATTTTTAAAAAACAATTAAATTTTCTTAATACTATATACCTTTTCAGACAAGGTGGCGGGTAGTAAGTGGGAAAGAAGAATGTTTCTGTCTCTGCCAACGTTTACTGTTCTGATTCCACTCATCTCTTTAGCAGGATTGTTCTACTCTGCCTCTGTGGAAGAAAACTTCCCACAGGGCTGTACCAGTACTGCTAGCCTTTGCTTTTATAGTTTGCTCTTGCCGATTACCATACCAGTGTATGTGTTTTTTCACCTTTGGACTTGGATGGGTATTAAACTATTTAGGCATAATTAGTGCAACCATAGCCAAGATGGTAAACCTATTGATGATAGGTCTTAGGTATGTATCTCTGAAAGCTCAATTAGATGCAAGTACTGGAGACCCATTTAGCTTACAGGAAAGTTGCTTTGCCTTGCTTCTCTTGGGCTTAGGATTGTGGGAGGTATAAGCTGCATAAGCTTCTTGGTACTTTTGTTCTGCCCTTGTTTTTTGAAGATTCTGACTTATAACTACTGAATCAGAAGAAACATTTCAATAACAGTTCTTGATGGAGATTAACACCCCTATTAATCTGAGGCCATTTCTTAGCTTATTAATATAAAAATTCAATCATATGGAATTTTATTTGTTTAACTTCAGCATCAGTGGTAAAGCCACAGCCATGTTAGAGATGACTCAGTTAATCCCAAAGAAGTTATGGAAGAGTTTTTAGAGAAATGCATTTGAACTAGTGTGATATAAAACTGTATAATAAAATGGAAATTTCATGTAAAAAAAAAAAAAAAAAAAAAACAAAAGGGAACGGGAGCTCTTGAACTTTGAGCATATGTCATCAAAGCTGTATTTAAGCTGGTCAAATATTAGAATGCCCAAGTAATAATGACTCAAACTTCATAAAATTTATTCATTCACTGAATTAATCTGAAGGCAGAGGGCTCTAGGATTGGCTCAATGTCTGGATGAAGTTATTAACAGCCTTGTACATTCTATTTTTCCCCCTCTGCCTTCCTTGTCTCCTTTTGGATGTAGAACGACTTGCTGCAACTACAAGCATCATGACCTCATGTGGACCATGACCATGATCATGAGTTTTCAGAAGCCCTCCCACAGACTTCTCATTGAGTCTCAATAGCCAGAATTGAGACACAAACCCATTCCTAAATCAACCAGTACCAAAAAGAAATGGGATTGTCCTGACCTTTTAAACTTCTTTCCTTGTCCCCAAAGGAAAAA